GACACTGGTGGCCTTTCTGCGGTGTTTGGCCAGGCTCCGCCGCCCAATGGGAGGTCCTATTTCCGCGGCCCTGCTGGCCGCTACTCCGATGGCCGCCTCATCGTCGATTTCATAGGTACTTCCCTTTTTACTTACTTCAATTTCATTTCAACTAGAAAAAAAGATCTTCTTTTTTGGTCTGTCTCTGGGGATTTGGTCGTGATGTTACTGTTCTTTCACATGACCGACAGATCATGCGTTTTGATTTTCTTTTGATGTTGAACTTTTAGCCAAAAGCCTTGGATTGCCATATCTAAGCGCGTATCTTGATGCGCTGGGAGCCAACTTCACCCATGGAGCCAATTTCGCCACGGCTGGCTCAACAATTCGACCCCAAAACACAACTATCCAGCAGAGTGGGTTCAGTCCCATCTCACTCAACGTTCAATACAACGAGTTCTATGACTTCCGTCGCAGATCCCAGACCGTGCGAAATCGAAGTGAGTCATTTTTGCAAATTGGGTCGGATGAATTGCAGCCAAAATTCTTCCTCTATTTATGTTGACTGTGGTTCTTCTCAGTCGGCGGCATTTTTGAGCAATTATTGCCGGAGGAAGGCGCATTCAGTCGGGCCTTGTACACTTTTGACATTGGCCAGAACGATTTAACGAGTGGCTACTTCGCCAACATGACAGTCGACCAAGTTAGGGCCTACATCCCTGAAGTACTCGACCAGTTCTCCAATATTGTCAGGGTTAGCGATTCACATTCACATTCACATTGACACCCATTTTTACTCCTTTTTTTATCTTTTAAAATGTTGAGATATTTATATTAATTAGATTTAGTTTAAATTTTGGGTTGAGTGATCCTTCGATGGTTGATTCATTCTTACCTTAGTATCAGAGTAGAAGTAGAAGGTTTGTGTTCTTAGTTCCTCTCTATTTATTATGATTTCCACTTTGTTGGGTTTTATTGTAATTTTACATACCCACAAGAGAAGGAAATGTTGAAATATTCGTATGCATGTCAAATTGAAATTATTTGACTTTTAAAAGAAATTTGGCAAATGATGAAGATATGGAAATAGTCTCAATAAGACATATCAGTCGAGGCAAGCAAGGTGGTGGTCTATGGGTTGATCAGACGACAACTCCCTCATGACTGATTTAGTTTTTTCGGAATTTGTTTTATGTTAAGTTGTTTTCTATGGTTGATTCATCCTTCACTAAGAGCGGAAAAACTAGGATTGTTAGCTCCTCCCAATTTATTAGGATTTTCATTTGAATTTTGTTGTCATTTTATCAAACTATTGTTTTTTATTTATCCAAAAACACAAAATATGCATCGTATTTGTGTGCGTGTAATGTAGTGGGTGCACAGTCAAGGGGGGAGATTCTTCTGGATCCATAACACGGGCCCAGTGGGCTGCCTTCCATATGTATTGGACCGAAAGCCCGTTTCAGCCTCAGAATACGACAAATATGGATGCGCCACGCCTTTCAATGAGTTGGCCCAAACTTTCAACCGCGGCCTCAAGGAAGCAGTGGTTGAACTTCGCGAGGATTTGCCCGACGCTGCCATCACCTACGTTGATATTTACTCGCTCAAATACGCTCTGATCAGCGAACACAAGAAGCACGGTATCCGTTTTTCTTCCTCTGGTTTGAATTTTGATATTATACTGTATGGTTGGTTTTGAGGTGGAATTGAAATGTAGGGTTCGAATTTCCACTGAGGACGTGCTGTGGGCATGGTGGGAAGTACAACTTCAACGTGAACCTTGGATGTGGAGGAACGAAGAGGATCCATGGGAAGGATGTTTTGATCGGAAAATCTTGTGAAAACCCAGCGGTGTATGTTAATTGGGATGGTGTACATTTTACTCAGGCGGCCAACAAATGGATCTTCGATCAGATTAAAGATGGTTCTTATTCAGAACCACCGATCCCTCTCAAGATGGCTTGCCACAGGGCCTGATCTAATCTCATATCGTAGCACGAAAAAGAGTTCCCTTCCATCTGCTTCTTTCTCTAGTGGTGTGAACATAACATGTGATTTAAGGCAGATTAATTAGTAGGAACTCTCACAATCACAGCGCCCCTTCTCTTCTTTCTGTAGTAGCACTTTTTTTTTTTTGTCTCCATCGCGCTACGATAATAATATTAGAGATTCTCTGTGGTTAATATTTCCATTTGAGTTATGTTATCATTTGTGTCCTATTTTGAAATTGGTTATGGTGGATATAATCTCCACCCTACCGATAAGACAAGCTGTAAATCATGCATGGGGTATCGAAAGGATCCGGATGATAAACGCAAAATCGTCTGAATTTAAGAATTGGAAACTAAAAAATTTGAAAATTATTGAGAATGCGACCGTCCAAACAACTTCATCAATCATAGCTGCAAAGCCAAGACTCAGATGAAGGCAATTTCATGAAATTATCTTTTCATCAAGAATTTTTTAATTAACTAGAAAAATTATTTTTTACAATACTCACGAATGGTAAGACAAAGTTGCTCCTCACTGAGCAGGAGCCAAACTTTATCCATACTTTCTTAAACACCAAAGAAAAAGATTTAACACCTGTCCGCGCTACGCTCCATCTGATCTACCCGGGAAAATCCGTTTGTTTTCATCCACTCCCCAACGAAGTTCCGTGTCTTGCTTGCTTACACGCTGCTCTCTGAGAGTGAGAGACACATCGCCATCGCCTGCAATTGCAATGCTACTCTCTGCGCCTGCTCTCCAAAACCCTCTCTACTACGCCAATTCTTCCTCCTCCTTTCTCCCCTTCCTCTCCAACAATGCCCTAAAACTCCACAGCTTCATTAGGCTCAGGCCACTCACCTTCGCTTCCGCTTCTTCCTCCCTCACTGACTCATCCTCCATCCGGAACCCTAGCCTTAATCCCAACCTGCTTCGGCACGTTGCTCATACCGTACGCGATGATGAGGAAGATGGGCCTATGGTGTCATCAGCCTGCGCGGTGGCGTCTGCCATTCTCAGAGCTTCCACCTCCCCTGTGGAGTTTGTACACAGGATCGAGAAGAGCCACAATAAAGGGTTGGTACTGCCGAGCCCTGATTTCCGGAGACTCTGTGTCGAACAGTTGGACCTGTTTCGCCGGATTGTTGATCCTGAGGCCTTGCTCTCGGTTTGTGTTTCCTTAAAACTTATATTTAGCTAAATTTGTTGGGGTGAACTATTATGCTCGTTATTTTCCCGTTTGAAATTTTAGTTGTTGGCTCTGCCGAACAGTTCTATGCGTTTGTTTAGGTTCGAGAGTTTAGAGCTGTAATGTGTCGGTGAGATTAGAGGAAAGGGATTTAGATGCTTTTTCTTACAGGTCTATGTTAGACCTGCTGGGAGCTATGTGATGGACCGTCTAGAGCTGCGTTGTGTTGCATCCTACCCAGGTGTTAATGTGACTGACGTTGTGCTGTTGGTTGGGAATTTTAGCGTTCCAACTGGTTTACGTGCTGCAGAAGCCGCTTTTTCCAGTCAACGAGTATGGTTAAACGTCTTCAGTTTTTCAATTTAATAGCCGTTTAGGATAAATGACTGATACGCTATTGGTTAATAGTTGAAGTTTAAAAAGTCAGTCTCAATTGTAGGTGGAAGTTATCCCAGAGCATAATGCCATAGTCTTTCCAATGGTGAAACACCCTTTTGTTGTGGGGTTCTTGGTCGCCGAGCTTCCAAACCTGGAAATGGAAAGATGCATGGGTATGCAGAGTTCTGATCATGATCTGTGGCCGTACTCATCTCCATACGAAGCCTGTGCTCTGTTAACTGGCTCAGAGACAAGTACACAAGGAATCCAAAGTACTACAAATGGGCCATTGAGAACGTACAAGCTTAATCAAGATCGGCAATCAAATGCCTTCCACATCTCCCGTTCTCTTGCAATGGCATACGTCATGGATCAGGTTTGTTGGATCGTTTTCATTCAGTACATTGCCACTGATGGTTATTTTTTATTACTCTTGCAATCTGACAATTTTACAGGTTGTGCTTCTTAGCTTCCATTTGTATTTTGTCACTTAGTTTAAGACAGCATTTTTTCTTCTGCAGAAAGCAATGTTGCTCCAGCAATCATCATGGCAAAATAATTTGAGGATGAGCAATCTGGTTGACCAAGTAAGGCGTTCTACATCTTACTTCATTTTGTGTTTTCACTTATTAAGTAGCATGTTAGTGCTCATAAAAGGAAAAAAAGAAGTTGCAGATTAATGTTTTCCCTCACATTTTATCCTCTCACAGATTCGTGGTTCTCTTTCTAGCATCCAAAGTTTAAGTAAGATGTTATCTGTCCACATGAAGAAGAGCGAGGTTAGAGTTTTTATTTCTTTAAGGTGCTAGGTCACTTCTTTCTCTGTTTATACATGTTTGTGTTTGGATTACTTGGTTTTGCAGATTGCATATGAGATTTTAGAAGACATACTGTTGCAAGGGGATCATATGAGAGATACCCTTCGACAACTGCAGGATGCTGTTTCCTTGACTAAGGCACTTGATCTCTCTTTTTCTCTTGCTATTACTGTGATTCTCTTGTTCTTTTTACATGATCCTTGTCATTTTGAAGTGCTTATTTATTCCATTTGGTCGATTTGTTCATTGCATTACAATTCTAATTATGTGCTCAGAAAAACAAATTACTAACTAGAAATTTCAGCCCAAAGTTACATGAGACTACCTCGGTGAAAAGACTTGTCTATGTTTTCTTATGAAGTGTTACTACGTGACAAAAATTTACTTGTGTTGTTTCTAGGCAAATATAGTGCACTACAATGAAGAAACACTGAAGAAAATGTACAAGTCCTCAAACCCTTTGTCTGAGTCAGTGAAAAATCAGTTGGATAACTTTCCGAAAGATGTTTCTAGCCTTCGAATGCAAGGTGGGTTAGTTTCTTCTAACACTACAGTTAAGGACTTAGAGATGCCCATGCCACCTGCGGTGCTTGCTCCTGTTCAACGATATGGAATTAGGTACATTCTTGCCTCCAATGTTTATGATTTCCTTAGTTTGAGGAAGAATGAAAATGTGGCACATCTGAACATTTCACAGTTCAACCCGTTACCTCTTCTTTTCAGAAACTAATGAATGCATCAGAATTGGGCACTTGTTGGGCCTTTTACTTTAAATGTTGTCCAGCACAGTGTTCTAGGGCAGAGTAGGATATCAGAAAAAAATTTCTATGTTTGGGATCCAACCATGCGAAACCTTGCCCCAATGAATTTGGTTTGCTGTTAATTTTTGTCATCTATGACTTTTGATGTTAAATGGTATTGGGGAACTTATGATTACCAATGCTGGAAATGATCAGCAACGTACAGGGGATGTTTCAGAAATCCCAGCTTTATTGCAGGTGGTTTCTTGCCTTGGGCAGTGCATGGAGGAGCATTTTAATTCCCCACTAGAGATATCCAACGAGCTTGAATGATATTAAACAAGCTCTTGCTCAACCAAGAAGGAAACCCTTTCTTAGAAACCATGAATTATCATGGGCATTAAGGGGTGCCAATGGACGAAGGAAGGGGCCACTTAACAAAATAAATGTACCACGGGTAGTCTGTGAATAAAAAGCAGCATAAGAAGAGGGTGGTCATCATCTGATGAAAATAGTGACAGTTCTGAAACAGACTAAAAAATGTAGCAACTTCATGAAACACAAACAGATCCACATCAAATGTTAGTGTCAAGGAAATTTCACGGGTTATTTAATATTGGTGTTTTGGGTTTTAGGCCTATCCTGGATGGTTTATTTTCCTCTTTTGGTTTTTTTTTCCCGTTTAAATTTGCCCTATATGTGCAAGAAAAGGTTTTGCTTGAGCATTTGGGTACTGCTTACCGGTGGATTGATTCTTCTGCTTAGAATTCTAGACGTGTGCATGTTTGATCACCATTTATCCATAATCCATTTGCCTATTGGTTTCATCCCTATCATAAAATGTTGCAGTAGTCAATCTGGTGCACAAACATTGGAGTATTTGACGTTCTGATGCTGATAATTAAATTCTCTCATACTTGCTCATCATCAATAGGATGAATATCTTTGCATTTCCTAAATGAAGTCAGTTTGTTTTTCAAAGTTATAATCTCAAGTTTACTAATCTGACGATTTTTGAATGTAATGTCAGGAAGGTCATGCAACGTTTCTGATGTACTGATAGATTTGGTTGAGGCAGTGAAACCTCTGGCGTGTAAACAGCAACGTATAGTAGAACTAAGTGAACAGGCTTGTTCTATGCAAATTGCCGTGGAAGAATCTTCACTGCGTCAGGCTTTGAGCAATTTAATTGAGGGTGCACTATTACGTACGCGTGTTGGAGGAAGGGTAGAAATTGTATCTACCACAGCGCCAGCAGGTGGTGCACTTATAGTTATAGATGATGATGGCCCCGATATGCACTACATGGTTAGTGGTTGGGCATTTGTTTAAATCGTGCCCGTATTATGATCTCTACCAATATTTGATATTTGTTTTGTTGGTGCAACTTCCTTCAGACGCAGATGCATTCACTCACACCATTTGGAGCAGATCTCTTGTCCAAGGAAAGGGTGGAAGACAATATGACATGGAACTTTGTAGCCGGGCTGACTGTTGCTTGCGAGATACTTGAGAGTTACGGGTGTGTAGTGCGTGTCATATCACCCAGGTGCTCGGATGCAGCGCTCGGGTCTGGTGGAACTCGCTTGGAACTATGGCTTCCTTCCATCCCAGGTACAACACTGCACAATTTCGACATTCCCACTCAGGAGGCATAGTGAGTAGATAAACTGCCCGATGTGTATATATCTCTGCAACTGATTAAGGATATATACGGTGAGAATGAGAGAGAATTTGAGTTAGCTTACTCAAAGTTGCTGCCAGTCTATGAGAATACGTGATAGTTTATGTGAGTTTTTGTATAGTTTACTGCAGGACATTCTATCAAAATAGTGTATACGTAGTATAACTAGCATCCAGCAAAACCTCCTTGATATAGCTTGCTTGCTCGCTCTTCCCCTTGTTGGTAGACATGCGTGTGTGCATAAAAAGTGTTTTGCATGTGTCAGCCATGAATTAGCTTCAAAGTTCGAACTGAAATATTGAACTCTGGAATAGTGATTTTCATTGGATCTTGTTGTTGAGTTCACTTTCTAAATGAATGTCAGTTATCCAAAAGAATATGTAAATGGTCAATATTTATGGAATTGAGAAGTATTCAATTCTGACAACAACAACAAAAGAAAAATCAAAACTCTAATAGAATAGTGAATGTTAGGTAAATCGTAGATTGGGTGTGCGTGAGTGGGGGGCTAACTAGAGCATTTATTAGGAAACCTAAAACCTGATTTCGGTAGTCAACCTTACCTAACAAATAGACTCTTTCATATCCTCTCTTGATTGATATGATAACCATGGCAGAAGTCCAGGACTTAATTGATGCCTTTAGTCTTTCTACTGTTCACGGAAAGTAACATATATATATATATATATATATATATATATATATATATATTATAATTTTGGTTAAATTACAACTGCAGTCTCCAAACTTTTAGAACAATATCTAATAGGACTTTTAATATATACAATTTAAGGATAAACACAAATGTGAAAGACTAAGAACTTATTAGATACAAAATTCGATTTTATTTAATAAACTAGAAATTTGTGACCAAATGTAGGTGAATGCAATGTTTGGATTTAAGCACTCTTGTGTCAAGTTTGATTTTATTTTTTTTTTCCTTTTTAATATTCAGTTTGAGAGTTTTTCTGTCTATTGATCTTGAGAGAATTAGTATTTAATTGCTATATTGGGATAAAATTCACTTATTCATTACCCTAAAAAATCCCACTGCGCCAAATCCATAGATATAAAATAAATTCTCTCTGATTTTTTTTTACGAGTACAAGATATAAAATAAAATTGATTCATTGAATGATTTAATAGTTTATCGTAAGCACGCTGTCTTCCGTATGTTTGATGTCTTCTGTATGTTATTAAAAATTGAGATTGGGATGTGTCTGGAATTATTTCCATCATAGGTCAACTTCATTTTAAGAATTCTTTTTCTTTTTTGGCGCTAACTCGAACCTAGTTTTATTGGTTAAGATGTATATCTTTTAAATACCTCCACGTATTGAACTAAAAAACATACATTAATTTCTTTTTCTATTTTTTCATGATGTAAAATTCAAATTTGAGGTGTCCACTTCTACTGCAATCAATGAGACCCATTGACCACTTTTAAATCAAAGGTGTCATGTCATAATATGTAAGTGGAAACCCACCCTTAAATTGCATTTCTTTTTTCTTTCTATATTAATTAATGTCTCATAGGCACTTCCCCACAACGACGAATCGGCCTCATCATCCGCAATGCCCAACTTCGTGCTCCGTTCTGGCATGTGGTATGTGACAGCGAGCCATTGGATTTCAAATAAATTAATTGTCATTAACAGTTTCTTCATTTTGCTCCATTTCATTTATTGCTTAAAATAATTCAATTAGAATCTCCATCCGTTGTTGTGATCAAAACTATGGACTTTTTAATATTTTCTTTAACTGGGTTTTGTTCTGTCCAATTTAAAGTGTGCATACCCACCACATGTTGCATAGATTTTTACTCATCCCAACTAGATTGACAATCAAGTTCCATTCCAGAGAAACTTGATCATAAATGGATTCACAATGGTTTGCCAAAATCACTTCAAACATCAAATTAGTAATTAATAACAATTAATAATGGGCTTTGAATTTAGGGACCGTAACAAGACTAATGTTGAAGTTCGGGTTTAGAGGTACCTAAAATAAAGGTTCTATTCATCTTGGCAGAATTAAATATATGATAGGGTTACCCGATATTGTAATAATCGTTGATCAGCAAGAAGAATATCAAACCCTTCAAGAATGTATCACGTTGGGAATTCCAACTATTTGTTATACTGACTTGGTATACTCTGAAAACATCCTCGGTGCAATATTGACGATCTTACAAATATAAAATTTCAATTTACTGATCTCCATCTTTTGCTAAATTTTTTTAAATAAAGGTTCAAGAAAAAGTGATCTCTTTTCTCCCAACGAGAGGGAGACATATTCCTCTCCTTCCACCAACTAATTTCATTCTTGAATCTCGTTACTGACATGGATAAAAATCAATATTCTTATATATTCTTCCAATTTAGGAATGAACTAGGTTTATGAACTTATAATCTATAATCTGATGATCGAGTCGATTCTATAATTATAAGTTCATTCCATACCGGACCAGGAATAGGACTAGGTTATATACATTCTAATTATGAGAATGGGTCATTATTTAAATAGATACGTTTACATATAGATCCCTACGTCCTTACATTCCATTTAGGATTAGGAATAGGCATAATCGGACCTGTTTTTCACATATCTCTCGGGATCCTATTCATCTCTTTGGGCTTCTATTGAATCGATGAGGCAGCTTACAGGGACGGTTGCACGATACGTCTTTTCATACTCGCCTTTTCTTAACCCAGCTATCAACCTAGCCATTCTTACTTGTTGCTTTGAGGGGTCTCTCCACTTTATGTGGGTATATATATAGGCTTCGTCCAGAATACCAAGTCAATCGGCAACTAAGGTTTCGCTCGTCCTGTCAGGGAGGAAGGGTTCCGGGATACCTCGAGGCCTTGTTTTGATGAACAACCAATTAACTAAGCAACTAACATATGATAAAATTAAAAACAAAACACTCCCTCTTTCCTTTCTCTTTTACAATGGAAAATTATTATTGTTTATAATTAATCACGAACACTAAGATGAAAGATAAAAAATTCAACAGGAAGATAATTCAAATTGCCAAACATCACTACCTTTCATTGTAGGTGGTAGGTTTGAATTATATTTATAATATAATATTATCTTTAGGTAATTATTTAAGTATCCTCAATTCACATTCTTATTAAATTATTATATTTTGAATTCTACATGTTCCCTTGTTTATACACTTGTTCTCCAATCATTTTAGTATTTTAATTATGAGAAAAAATTAGTCAATTAATTATCAATAAATATATTTTTAAAATTCTTTTAATTTTCAAAGATAGTCAATTCACAAGCCGGCCAGGGGGAAATGAATATCGTGTCCATGCCTTTTTATCGACAAAGTCGGCGCTACTTTTCATATTTCAGTATATGCTTCAATAAACAACAAGACTGTTAAATTTTTTTCCCCTCTAGGTTTTGGGGCCTTTTTCATTAGCCAAATGTCAGTAATACCCCCCTCGAACCGTGCAAGATTTATTCGGAAAAATGGACCTAAATTGTTAATTTTATGATTAATAAATGAACTAAAAAACCGGAAATATTGGAGGAGAAAAGAAAGTCAAATTCCCCAAAACCCGTCTCCCTCCCGCTGCTGAAACTGCAGAATTTTAATTGGAAACGCCCCCAAGGCCAAGGTTTAACGTGAAGATAAATATGAGCACATCCAATCCAATTTGAGAGTGAGTCGTCTTCTCTTCTGCTGAATTTCTTGGTTGTTTTTTGGCCGTTTCAGTCACGCTCGTTTCGTTCATCTCCAGCTTTTTGCACCGCAACGCGATCTCGGAAGAAGGATTTTAATTCACTTTTGGAATTGGTTTTCCTCGTGATTCCGAGGTTGCGGAACAGATCTTGTCTATCTTTAATTCTTTATATGGTAAGCTCTTGCTGTATTCATCTCGTTTCAATCCTGTATTTCTATTTGTTTTTCTGGCTATTGACTTTCCTTTTTTTAATTGGTTTACATAAAGGAAAACGTAGACTGGGGGTGAAAGTTTTTTAGTAATCAGTGTACTACGAGCTGAAAGTGATTACTGTTCAAGTTGATTCTTCATTTTAAAATCCTCGAGGTTACTTAAACTTAAAGGTATGAAATTCAGCAAGTTTTGTTTTGATTTTCGTTTTGAATTCGTTGACTCGCTTAATTATATCTAGCAGTTAGCTGGAGTTTATTATTGCTAGATTAGCTTCTACACCATGCGTATTTTGTGGTGATATTTCAGTGGAGTTTATTTATTCTTAATCGCGGAGACTTTTGGATATTCATGAATGTCAAAGTATTTGTTCCGAAGTTTTAAGCTAACTTTATGCTCGGGTTTTTTTGTTTTAAATCGCTTTAACTCTGTATCTTTAATCGAAAGCAAGGTCAATTTCTTTCTTTTGTTGTCTTTTTAATTCTTCTTTTTACCAAATTATTTGGGAAATGTGCTGCAATATCATTTTTTTTCTGGTCAAGTTGTGAAAACTGAACTTAATCGTGTAAATCAAAAAAGCCGGATTTTGGGTGCTTGCTTATTCTCTCTTTCAGTCTCCTCAAAGGGGAGCACATGTCTACTTTGCTTCATAGAGTCTGTAGTATAAGTTAGACAAGGAAAGGGCACATGGTTGCGCACCTTTCCTTTGTTCAAGGTCTACTTGCATGCGTTGAACATCAGAGAGTAGGAAAAAGAGAATGAAATAGTTAAGTAGAGGGGATGATTATCGTGTTATATAGCTTGTGAAATTTTATAACAGAACCTGATTTACAGAGCAGTTTCAGATTTTGATGTGTGAGTTTTAGAACAGCACCCAGGAGTTTCTTCTGATCTTTAACGTAGTCTGTTTACTTTCCATATGACTTACGACTATGCATCATTTAGTGAAAGTTTATGTCTTTCGTTTCTGTCTGATGTTAAATTTTGAATTCTTATTGCAGCATATTAGACACATCTTCATTCATGTGGTTTGAATTTCCCATTCACTTTCATTGAATGTCTTCTTTTATCTTGTATCCAACTGGACATGTATTTTTCTTTATCATGCAGACCCATCCTCACTTTGTAAATCAGCGACTAAGATTGTATCAGTAGAACTTGGAGGATTGTAGATATCATGGGAATCCTTTATCGCAGGTGCAGTATTATGAATGTCAAAATTTAATTGGAAAAAACCAATTATTTATAATTTATTTTCTTAGTAATTCATGATTCTTGTGTACTCACTTGTTTTCCGCAAATTTGCATTTTTGCTGTTGCAGTTCTGTGAATAGAAAACCGAATGACAGCATGAGGCTTATTATAATAACTTTTGTGGGAGTAGCTATGGGCTTTTTGATAGGAATATCTTTCCCAACATTATCACTAACAAAGGTTGATATTGAAGAATTTTCTAGTGCTCATTAAATTTCTATTCCGTTTGCATTAACATGATAACTGTTTGATATGATTATTTGGGTAGAAGCTTAATGTTCTTTGTTTTTATGATATTGGCAGCTAGGTATCCCCTCTGGCCTTATCCCAAATATTGACCACGTGTATAATACTGACCTAAAATCAGGCCCATCTACTACCCAAACACCTCAAAAGTTGCCATCTTATACCAGGAGTGGTAATGGAGACTTAAATAATTCTCGAAATCTGAATGGCACATCAAAGGTATTCTATTTTCATCAATATGTACTTGCATGGTGAATGGCAATTTTTTTGGCTATTGATGGCCTTCTAAATGTTATGGTTTCTTAATTATATGTTTGGTGTTAGACCCATTAATATCATGCAAAGCAATATTATTATTGGTTTGAACAATCAGAATATGTAGTGTTGTTACGTTTTAAGTTGCAATGTTTGTCCACTGGTGCTTTGAAGAATTATGTATAGATTTAACAGTCCGGCTACACAACATGAAGACGTTAAATGCTTTAGAGGATGAATTAGCTAGTGCCTACTGGTTAGGATGAAAACTAAAAATACCCTTTAAAGGAGGTAGGATAAAAATACTCCCTCTTCCTTGGGACCTACCATCAAAGTAGTAATGGCATTTTTCATTGTCTGCCTTTCGCTATCTCATCACTTTCGAAATTGTACTTCTACACGTCCTTTTTCTTCCTCTTGTTACAAATTTATTGGCATAATTTTTCAAGGTCCTGGTTAAACATGTTAGGAGAATGATGAATTAACTTATGCAGAGACGTTTCTGAACTAAATAGATATGACAACTTTGGACTTCTGTATTGAAAATTCTTTTGCATTGTGGGAGCATGGGAATACTAATTTTTCCTGTATTGGTTCTTTAATTTCTTGATTTGTACATGCTTTTATCATTTTTGCATCACTATATGGCTATTACTTGTATTTGATCTTCTTTAACGTGAAAGACTGGGATGATCTTGCGAAGCAGGTGCTGATTGTTTTGCTTTTAGTTTATTCACCTCAGACTCAGACATCCTTCTTTCCTCTAATTATGACATGATGCAGATTTGGGTTCCATCAAATCCTAGAGGAGCAGAAATGCTAGCCCCAGGGATTGTTGCAGCTGAATCAGACTTCTATTTACACAGATTGTGGGGCAATCCCAATGAGGTGTGTTTTGATTTGCACACACAATTTTGATTTTTGTAAAATACATGAATTTACATGGAGTATTATAGAAACACTGTCATTACAGGACATCCTGAAATATCATATCCATGTTCGATATACATCAGGTTTATTTTAATTACCTTATGGTACTTAATCAGATAAATGTTCGCAGGACTTAACTAGGAAACCAAATTACCTTGTAACCTTCACTGTTGGTTATAACCAGAGAGACAACATTGATAAAGCAGTAAAAAAGGTCCCTCTTTCCCGCAAACTATAACTTTATATATACTATCACCCTTCTCTTTGTGCGCATACGAGACTGACTATGGTTCCTCACAGTTTTCAGAAAACTTCACAATTCTTCTGTTTCATTACGATGGCCGAACAACTGAATGGGATGACTTTGAATGGTCGAAACGAGCAATTCACGTGAGTGCTCGAAAGCAAAGTAAATGGTAACTATCATGCTGTTATAGTGAACGTTGAGAAAATTTTGTTGTATATTATATGAAATTTTAATCTTAAAACTTCCTCTGAAGGTGGTATGCGAAGCGATTTTTACACCCCGACATTGTGGCACCTTATGACTACATTTTTATGTGGGATGAAGACCTCGGGGTTGAGCATTTTGATGCGGAAGAGTGAGTTGCTTACTGATTAGCTTAAATGACACCTTGCTTCTATTTGAATGTTGTAACCTTCTAAGTTATCCTCTTTCAATCCAGATATATAAAATTGGTGAGGAAGCATGGCTTGGAAATTTCACAGCCCGGTTTGGAACCTAACAGAGGGTTAACATGGCAGATGACAAAGAAAAGGGATGATCTTGAAGTTCACAAGTAAGACTCACATGGAACAACTATGTTCACTTCCTTAAAAATTCTGCATTGTTAAATTGATCAATTAAACCTGAAAGTTTAACAATTATTTGTTTTGGCAAATTTCCTCCAGAGATACAGTGGAAAGGCCAGGATGGTGCACTGAGCCGAATTTGCCTCCCTGTGCCGCGTAAGCTTAACCCCAAAGAAAAATGTGAAAGTTTCCCATCTGTTTTCTTTTTCAGCTGATAGAGGATTAATGTCTGTACTTGTTTCCTTTTACAGTTTTGTCGAGATCATGGCTCCCGTGTTCTCACGAGATGCTTGGCGCTGTGTGTGGTATATGATTCAAGTAAGAACTGACTTCATTCCTCTTGAATTTTATCTACATCATTCCAAACGGTCTTTCTAATTCCTGTTACTGTTACATGGGTTTGCAGAATGATTTAATCCATGGCTGGGGTCTTGATTTTGCCGTCAGAAAATGTGTGGAGGTCAGTGGTAGCTTCCATCCCTCTTTTATATTTTGACAGCATCATTACCAATTCTTTGGGAGGCGGTGTTGTTGGTAATATCTATGAACTCTTTCTAACTTAAAAAATCTTCGAAAGCAGCCTGCACATGAGAAGATTGGAGTTGTAGATGCTCAGTGGATTGTTCATCAAGGTCTTCCCTCGCTCGGGAGCCAGGTAAACTGAGATCTGTTTCTTCAGCTCTCTTCCTCACTCCCCACCAAACAGAATTTTAAATGCTAATACAGATCTTTCTTTTCATTTTTCTCTGTAGGGAGAAACTCAAAATGGGAAAGCGCCATGGCAAGGGGTACACACTCTCTCTCTCTCTGAAATTATTTAGTAGGAGATAATAGATTAGAAATAGAACTCGTACATCAGATTTGATTTACACATATAGCTTGACGATTTAGACCCCCAAGGGACAACCTTTGAAAAGGGCTTGGAAGGGGCTTGGGATCTCTTAGTTATGCTAGCTTAGAGGTCTTAAGTTCGAACCTTCTGGTGAGCTTATTACAAAAAAACCCTTGATGTCTCTTAGGTTTGAACCTCGGGCATTGATGTCTTTGGGTATAGGGGAGCAAAACTCCAACTCTCAGTTAGAAAAAAAAAATTGACGATTTATTTCCTTAATCTGCATGTGATAAGTGATGTGGTTGTTGTATTGGTTGCCAGGTGAGAGAAAGATGTCGGAAAGAGTGGACAATGTTTCAAAGTCGGATGGCAAATGCGGAGAATGCGTATTTCAAGTCATTGGGGATTGATCCATCAAATTCAGCCAAACATTAGGACCCAATCAGATTATATACACAATCCATTATTAGCCACTTCTCCACTGATTTGTATAAATTCGTTAAGCATTATAATAATAATAATAATTTAAGAAGAATTTCATTTTGGTTGTCACTTTTCTATTGGGATTTTCAGATACCTGGTTTGGAATCACTTTTAGGCTGGAAAAATGAGCCAGCGAGAGGAATCCTAAAACATGATAAATTGGTATATATGCAATTGGAACAATCATAGCTGTCGTCGTACAAGAGGATCCACAACCAGATAACAGCTTCCAATGCTTATGGTATATATTCATATTTGAGAGTATGCAGCAAGATATCGCACAGCTGTTGAACTTTCCTCATAGCCAAAGGCTCGAGACGAGATGGTTTTCTTAAATGGAAAAGTATGATTTTCTCGCATACTTTGTGAGACGTTTTTATAGGTTCCCATGCTTATTAATGTAATGAATATCTATCATCCTTTGATGTAATGTTAGAAAAGATTGATAGATGAATCATGTTTGAATATTTAGAATGTATTTTGGATGATAAAGATAGAACTATTAAGAATACGTCTAATTCTTATATACATTCTAACTAATGCTCGTCAACTAAATTTGCACCAACACGTGGAGGGCTGCCTTATTCATCTTGAAACGGACTCTTTGGAAGTTCAAAAGCTGCTCAATCGGGAAGATATAGATCTTACTGAAACTGAAATTTGATGGATATATGTGGAGGAAATCCAAGCTTTCAATTATAGAGTTTCTTCAATTTCTCACGTGGGAAGAAAGGCAAAAAATATTACGTACAAAATTGCAGGGCTGAGAGGAAGAGGAAACCAAGGTGTGACCGTTTGCTTTCCCAAATTGATAATGTTTTTTTGTTGGAGATATATATTAATTAACGTTGAGTTATACTCGTTTTGACATATATATAAAAAGCATGTCTTATCTGCAATTTTTTAATCTATTTTTGCTTTTTTAAAAGAAAAAAAAAGTAGTATCTTGTTATTGGGACGATGAAATTTTAAAAATTCGATCAAAATATTTTCTAACAAAAAAATTTAGACTTAAAACATATCAATTTTGTTCCTAAACATAATTAAATTAATTAAAATATATATGAGTCAGAAGGTTCAAAATTTCATCCATGAACTCGAGGAAGGAATCACATTTTGGACTAAAAAGACATCATGAATTCCATTTCCTTATTAGTCATCTCTAGACAATAACAAAAAGAAAAAAAAAATCAATATTTAACATGAACAAAAATTGAGATAATTACTTTTAGATGACAAAAATATTATATGTATTTTGAGAAATATCAGTACTTTTGTTTTTTGTAAGAAATATCCGACTCTTTTTCAATAGTTTATTTTTATTTGAATTCAAGTTAAATAAATTATTTATATAAAATTTTAAAACTACTACTATATTTAAAAATACATAGATTAAAATACTATTTTGGTCCACGTACTTCTAAAACATTCATTTTCATATCTATATTCTAATTTTAGTTCTCATATATTTTTAAAATGTTTGTTTTAATTCGTATACTTTTTCAAAATGATTGTTTTAGTCTTTATCTTCAAAATTTTAATGCAAATTCTACCTCTAAGGAATTTTCTTTTAACATAAAATTAACGTTTTAAGAAAAATATTAAATATAAAATCGTATCTAAATTATAAAAAAATTATAATTAAAATAATCGCTTTTTTAAAATACAGATTAAAATAAATATTTTAACTAAAATAAATTAAAGTTAAAAGGAAAGAAAACGGAATATAACCGCTGACTTCTGAAAGGTGCGAAGAGACCAACCCTAGATTTATGCAGCTACACAAATCAGGAGAGTTCCACGGAAAGTGAAACTGAAGCGTCATCATCTTCTCCACCACATGTCATCTCCAAATTGGTCATTGCATTCTCCCTCCGACACGTGGCCGTACAGATGTTCCCTTCATTTTCCCGATGAAAAGGTGGTCTTTTTTTTTACCATCACAGTCAATCAAAACACCACACGTATCCCAACCCCATGGTCAGCCCCTAACCAGGGTTAAACATTGGTGGTTAAGAGAACCTCAGTCAAATGTATAAATGGTATATTCTCCAGCCCAGCCCTCTAGAGTTCACTTCTGGGCTTAATTTGGAGTTTGCCTCTAATTTTTCTACTCCCCCACCTCCAGACTTCGTTTTAGCTGAAAAAAAAGTGCACAAATTGAGGGTTTCTGAAGATGGGGCTCTCCAATTTTCCGCCTCCGGCTGAAGGAGTGTTGCTATTACCAGTGCTATTGATGAACACAGTAATGTCAATGGCTTTCTTGAAGAGCTTGGTGAGATCTGTGATACAAATGATGAGTGCGAGTGGCAGTGCGAGCCCTTCGAGTTCTGAGGAAGAATACGATTCAGAAAATGCAAGAGAAAGAAGAATCTCAATAACCCAGTTCAAATCCTTGCGCCAAAGCTTCAATGGCGGAACAGAGGATGGCTCTGCTTCGAGGTGTATTGCGGCAGAGTGTTGTGTTTGTCTTTGTGGGTTCGAAGCCGACGAGGAAGTTAGTGAGTTGTCTTGCAAGCACTTTTTCCATAAGGCTTGTCTTTCAAAATGGTTTGATAATAAGCACATTACTTGCCCTCTCTGTCGCTCCATTCAATAGAATTTAATTTTCAGCGTAGCTTCTGAAAGGAAACTTTTGCTTTCATTCCACCATTTTGAGCGTTTTCTTTTCTTCTTTTTTTTTTCTCCCAATTCCTACTCTATCTCTCTCTCATGTCGCTCTCCATATTTTAATCCGAGCGAAAGGGATGAAGTTTTGTAATATCATCACTTTCCTTTATATATATGTAGTGTACAATGAAAGATGAGGGCTCGTGACAGTGTTTTCTGATAAATCTTTCCTACTTCCTCTTCACTGTTCTATTAACCTCCTGGCCAAAATAGAAGCACCCAAAAGCAAATTTAGAATTCATCAGGCTTTTCAGGGTCATACTCATATTTCCTCAGTGGGAGGAAGAAGAAGAAGAAGAAGAAGACAACTGAGAATCAGTCAAAGCAAGCAGCTTTAAATGGCTTGGAGCAGTTGGGGAGTCACATAACTGGAAATTTCGATGTGGGACGGTCCCTTCTGTGAAAAATCTAGTTCCAAAGTCATTCAACACAACAACTGCTCTCTCTGCTGGGCAAATGGATGGCTTGAATTCAGCTATTGGCCTTGACACAATGAGCGTTTGTGTCAAATGTTTGTTGCTTTCTCTTTCTGTCACAAAGATTTGTAACTTGTCTGTACTCGTTATATTGAAGATTGAAGAAGGATCTCCCATGAACCAGACATGTCTTTCTTGTATTTATTTGATATTAATATCCACTGGGTATGCTTCAATCCTTCACCTCATGGCAAAGATCCAATCTTTTTGGGGCCCCAAAATCCTTGGCCACTCATTTCTGGCAGTAAATTAAACGAAGATCTCAAGTTTTGTATAACATTTTGATATGAATGACTGTGGATCTACGACCCAAAAAAACCTGTCATCTTCATGACCCAAGGAGGGAGAGATTCAGACAGATTTGAAACCATAAGCAAGTTGGAAAGAAATAACAACAGAGAGTTAAATGAAATCCACAGAAATTGAGAATTCTTTGTACATTTCTCGAAGTTTTTAGTGCCACAAGAAGAATTCAGTATTCATATGTGAGTATGTATAGAAGGGGCTGCAAAGAAATTGATAAAATACAACTTAAACAGTCTGTATTATTACTGGAACCTTGAAATGTTTACGTAGGCACTTCAAGAGTTTTAACAATTGTATTGCAAGGAGCTCTGAAGTATCAGAAAATTATTTAGCTGTATAATTCAGTAAAAACTTTACCACATGATAATGTAACAATGATAACAAACACAGCCAGGAGATGCAGTTTCTTTCAGTCAGAGTCTACAGACATCTGTTTGTTTGTTTCCAATTTCTTGTGTTTCAGCCTGATGAACTCCTCGGCCTCCTCATCAATGTCCTCGGTGTAGGAGTGAGCATGGTGGTATCTAGGAGCCTCGCGAACATCAGATTTGTCGTTGCAATCGTCGCTGAAGGTTACATGAGGTCTATGGTTTTTGTGGTGCCTTCGAGTCACGAGCGCAGAGTCAGAAATGTAACCTCCATAGTCGTTTGAATGAAAACCATGATGAGCATGGGACTTGAACTGGAAATTTTCAGAAGACATTTCCAAGCTGGTAGAGAAACAAGTATGATGGTTTCTTTTCTTGTTTGTGAATGTGTATTTGAAACGTCTCGCAGTGCATATATAGAACAATTTTATTCCCCAAGGATGAGAATTGAATCCAATACCTTCTTTTGAGAGTAGGGCCAGTGAAGTTTTTGACTTTAATTAGGACACGAAAGAGACATCACTTTGAAACCTCGTGTAAAAGTTAAAAGCCTTTTTATAGGAGAATCAACTTGAATAACAAGACACTTCTCTCATATCTACAGCCTATGTACCATTGAAACAAACCTTAAGAGGTTTCCAAACGTACCAAAATATCTAACCACATTTGTGTCAAGTTCATGTCCCAGCTGAGTGAACGAGTAAATTCGGTCACTCTGTAACTACAACGTAAGTATTGACATCGACGAAAATAAAAAACCTTTCTGCATTGATGGTAACCTACCCAACAGGCTGCCTAATAAATAACACTCTGATTTCAATAAATTGATTCTATAAAAGGGAACTTTACAAATGTGGATGCTACTCAAGTTAAAACTGAAGAAAAGTTCACACAAGTAATGTATCAGAGAGAGAATTAGAAATCAGGTCAATTGCAGATATGAATACATGATATAAATAATAGTCGTGTATACAAAATTTCCCAGAAACGGGGAAAAAGCACAACAGCCTCAAAATACAATGCCAATGCACCAGGGGTTGTCTAATTTGCTGCTCCTGAGACAGCAAGATTCACCCACCCATTGAATAGATAAACTCCTCCAACCAAACCAACTCAAAGAAAACAGATATCTATCTACACATAACTTCCATCCATGGAATTAGTTCAACCGTCAAGCAGTTACAACTTCCAGAAGAATTAACATTAGCTTTATCAGGGCAATCGTCTTGGCCACGCACCGGCCAATGACTGTCGGGATGGAAGGTCCACGAGGTGTCAGACAGGCTCCAGAGCAAGTAACTTTCAAAAGCTAGATATCAAAGTTAAGAGAGATATTAGCCACTCTCTCTTACACAATGCCCAGGCAAAAGGAATTTGTAATCCTCAGCATTTTCCAGAAGATATGATGGCAAGTGAACTGCTGAGTACGAATGAGGAACCGGTCCCATTTTTCCAATAATTTCTTTGAAAGTGTATTCCTCAGGGAGCATGTCGAATAAATCAGCGCCCTTGCAGATTATGTTCTGAATTCTTTCGGGTTTCAGATAACTCGAGAACCTTACTCTGTCATTGTGGCTGTATGCTTTCATCTTAAAAACGAAGTCGTTGATACGACGGAAGCAGAAGCTACAGTGCCACCCTGAATCTGCCAACAGGTCATCTGATTGGCGATAATGAACATACCTTGTCTTGCCAGATTGGTATCTATGGACCGAAGCCCTCCAGCTGTTGTCATCTACATGAAACTCGAAAGAATACAGATAATTCCTAAGCTGAAGATGAAGGACATCTGGTATGTCATCACACCATCTTAAGAGATCAATGGTGTGCCTGCTCGGAATCTCATCGACATCGGACATTATCAACAAGTCATCGTCAGAAATTCCAGCAATTTTGAGAAGCTGATCAAGTGCTACTCGTTGAAATGCCTCCTCAACAAAAGGATTTTCACCTTTCTTAAATCTGCCTCCGACAGTGCCATAAGTCAATCTGGGCTCCACAAATTTAAACTGGTCTCTACTGCGAGCAAAGTATAATGGCTTTGGCTTCCCAGTAAATGTTGAATTTGCCTCAAGGAGAACGAACTGTGTAATGTAGGGGTAGAGTTCTTTCCATCTCAAGGTGAGCATCTCAACCTCATTACTGAACAACACAGCATCATAAACACGTCGTGGAAACTCCCGGACCTTCCAACCATGGAGTTTGCAGAGGTTCTCCATAGGTACATTCTCATCATAGTAGTGAGTAATCATATTGAATTTTTTTGGTGGCGATTCCCATAGTGGCCGTAGGAAGTATGAGATCTTCTGTCCATGCAGGTAGATGATTAAGATGCACGTTGGAACTAAAGCAAAAAGGATGAGGAATGTTTTCACATCATATCCACGAAAAATGCAGCGGAGTCTTGACATGCCCAATACTCGATTTGATTCCTGAATACAGAAAAAAAGAAAGCCTGGTCAAAATCTGAAACGAGTAACAAAAAGAAAAACTAATACACAAATGTCTACAAAACTTGGACTACTTCAAAATCTCCATTATTTTCAGAAATCAAACAATTAAGCCAAGAATGAAGATTATGTATTTTAAAACACATAAATTCCAATTATACTCCCTGAAGACATAGAAAATTAAGTCATATTCTCTATGCAGAAAGGAAACAATTTCTGAAAATCAGAAGTACACAATAGGTTCGTGGATGAGGGACAATCTCAAATGTCGATTCACCTAAAGGAGCGGACTCCACGTATGATGCCCAAATTTATGGTAACCTCCTAAGGTCGAGAGAGTTTAAAAAAATTACAGAAAAAAATTCATTTTCGCTAGGGCAGATTTTATTCTCCAGAAGTTTCTGGTAAATGTGGCGTGGGAAAGCCCCGTTATATAGGACAGTCCAAGTTTCCGCAATCAGATCTCCAGGTACGCCCAAACAAAAAAAAAAAGGACTCAGAATAAACTACCCAACATCATAGCAAAGAAAAAAAAATTGCAGAGCCATAAGGCGTTTGATTTGATGATATAATTGCCCCAAACAAAACTAGAAAAGAAACAGAGAAGAGAAAGCCCTAATATGCAAGAGTCAATTAAGCATCCAACCGGTGAGAGCAGACGATTCCTTAATCCAAATTTGAGTTCCAGAGAAAGGGGTTTATATTGATCCATGATCAGGAAAAACAAACTCGGACAACGAACGAGACGTAAATCACCGATTACTGGACGAGGAAAGCCGAAACCGACCGAAAACAGAAGAGATAGGAAACAGATCAAAGGGCAAAAATAGTAAGTACCTGATCACAAACTTCGCCGCAGATATCATCGGATTTCTTGGAGCAGTAATGGCCTCCACCTTCACCCATCATCCACCACATTCTCGTGTGTCAAAAAAAAGAAATCCCAAAAAACTCAAATATCAATCAAGTTCCCCCCTCCACTCGAAGCGGCGGTTGAAGGAGTCAAATCAAGGCAACAGATCGATTGACCAGAAATGGCGAACCGCCGGCAGTGGTTCAGTTTGTGAGAATCAGAGAAAGGCGCGGAAAATAAGCAGATTCAGTCCCAAGCGGAGAAACGGAAAGTATTTAGCCGTTTCCTCTTTCTATCTCTCTAAATAAGCAGAGACTGAGAGAGATCCCTAAGAATTTCCGAAATTAATCGGAAAAAAATTGGAATAATAATTGGGAGAGAGAGGGAGAGAGAGAGAGAAGATCAAAAGAATTCAAAAGAAGAAACGGGCCAAAATCGAGGGCTAAGAATTCGAGGGCCGAGAAGCGAGAGGCTGTGTGCTTGTGCCCTATCTATCTATCTGTCTTCGACAATGATTGGTGCCAGTCGTGGCTATTACAAATTACATGAACCGAAGGAGGAAAAAAAAAAAAAAACCAGAACAAAAGGCAAAGAGAGCCGTTTCTCTTTGTCGCCTTTTTTCCAAAGAAAAGAAAAGAAAAGAAAAAAATCCGATTCCAAAGTTTCTAATTCTCCCTTCTGTGTGTATCGTTCGCAAATCGCAACTTGGAGTTGTAGTTTAGAGGTTCCTTAGACAGTGCGATAACGTGGGTGGGTATTAATAGTGCTTAGAAGTGGGCCCACGCGCTCCATTGACTCGCTCAAGCCGACCCCAACCCAACTGAGTCGTGTCCGTGTCGTCGTTTCTCTCTTTTAGTTTGATTCATTCTGATTTGTGATTACGGATGTCCAGTGGGGTGGCGCCTGGCGGATTACCAATTCTTGACGCCGGATTTTGCCGCTGCCCTACCCCCACCCTCCTCCGCCCCTTTGTTTTCTTCTTTTTGTCTTCGCTTGGGCTACATTTTGGGCCTCTCTTCACACCCAACCAGGCCCAAATCCCTCTCTACGTTCTTTCTGGACCCACATAATTACTAATTTCTTTTCTTTATCAATAAAAAATTTATTTACAAGTTTATCACATGCTACTAAAATATTACACAAATAGTAATCATTTGGAAGCTAGTGTCATATCATGCATATACAGTACAAATAATGTAAAAATTGCTAAAAAGATGGAGAGTATATAAATAGGCAGAAAACGAGGTAATATAAAGACTTAATTAAAAAAAAAGAATTATATAGACAGAGCAAAAATGCATAACCTAACCTAAACATATATTTTTAGATATAACATCAGGTAAAAGAGATGATAAAAATTAAAAAAAAAATTAACGTAATATGTATTGTTGATGCATAATTTGGATGAGGGAAGTCGACAAACATTTGAACACACAAAGATCTGCACAGTTGAGAGTAGCAAAAATTGAACTTGTGAAAAACGTACATCGATTGGGTCAGCTAATCCAACTACGTCGATTTGATTTTGACAATTTGATTCCCATCCCTTCAAATGAATCTAGTATTAGAATTTCACCCATATCATTGGCAATAAACACATAATTGTTAAAATAACAAATATAATATACATGAATTTTTAATATAAAATAAAGGAACACATACAAATGACAAAAGATGATGATGAAGATAATATCCGTACATAGAAACAGTAAAGATTTTGATTCAGGTTAGGAGAGAATCTTTTCATGTTTTAAAGTCAAGAATTTCATATTAAAGGCAACAAAGAAAACAAGATATAAGACAATGTAAGAAGATAGGTTTCAAAATATTTTACTATGACAAATAAATATGCAGATATTTAGGAAAAATGATATTATATGCCACAATTTATTTTTCAGTCTCATACAACAACTGGCACATATTTAAATTAAATAAAAGATTTGGCCCACATAATTTTAACTTTATTTTTCAAAATTTTTTTACAAGATGGACTATAAATTATAACTTTAATTTGGTCACTATAGCTTTAAAAGTTTCAATTTAACATTTTAAAGCTTAAAAATTATGAGCTCGTCTTTTACTCACTCATTTTCTCTTATTTCCTATTTCATCTCAAATTAGAGTACCAAATGGCGAATTGATCCAATATTTTTGTCGAGGGTTTCCATTAAAATTTAGTGGGAAGAATTTACCAATTATAGAGATTTGTGGCACCAGCTCTAGCGATCAAGTCAATTGAGAAATTTATTAATTTAAATAAATTAATTAATTAATAATTAAAAAAAGTTTGAAAGTTTTTTCGGCTTAAATAAATCTGCCCGTGAATGAAACATCGACTCACTGGTAAATAGTAAAAAAAAAATTAAAAAAAAATATCACGAATTGTTACATTTGATTAAATCATTGGAATTAAATTGACATTTTAAAAATTATAGATACTAACATTAAATTTCTTTAATTTATAAGGACCCAATTGAAAGAATCAAATTCACAATTTAACTAAATATTTATTAACTCGTTTAATCTTCTCTTTTTTTTCAAGCACATGCATAATTCAAATTTAATTTGTAAGGTACAACTGGGCTTGACTCTAAACAACACCAGTTGATTCTGTACGAGTACGATCCGTCGAAGTTGGTTCTTAAACTGCATTTTGAATTTTGACCAATTTATTTCATTAATTTTTAAACTTTATTTATTGTCTGCCATTTGAGTAAAATGATATTTTTTTAGTTTCTATGCTTTGTTTCTGTCCCTTTCTTTCTTTCTTTTACAAGGACTTAGTCTTTGTTTATTCTTTTTGGTAAATTTAACAATCAAATGGGTAATGCCGATTTATTTTATTTACTTTTATCTATTCTGATGGTCAATATGATAATATTCTTAAAAATCAATCAATTAAAAAATATATATCCAAATAGTATAAATCCATTAATAAGAAGAGTATTGAAATCATATAATTTCTTTAGGAATGACTAGAATTTGGTCTTGACAAGTCAAGTGGAGATAAGATGAGCAATCTCAAATTGAAATCGAATTACTAGAAAAATTAGAAAATAATTACACTCTAATCCATCAATGTACACAGTACACAATTCCTTTTATAAATACAAGATTTCTAATAGAAACACACCACTTGCTAATTATTTGAAATTGAAATTATTCCAACTATAAAAATCTTTGTTATTATTATCTTTTAAAGTATTACGCCATTTTTCATACAATAATCCTACAACTTTTCGTCTTTCCCCACGACTAGCCATATCAAAGCAGCAGCCTCTTGCAATTGGTTCAAAAGTTTAATTTATTTTTTATACTTATCTCACACAAAATGAATAAACAGATTTACTCAAAAAAGGATCAACAACCCAACCAAAATATAGTGAACACCTAAGATCAAAATATCAAAAAATTATAAAACATAGGGATAGGAAAAGAAACAGACAAACAAATGCACCTCCACTTTCTTCAGGTCATCTACTAATTTTGAAGAACAAGGTTACAACATTATCAAAAGGAACAAAGAACTCGTCCCACAAAAATGAGTGCTACAATACCCACTTTTATCTCTTACAGTGACATACAGTTGTAAACAGAGAAATCACTCAATACCAAGATCTTACATGTTTTCAAAGAAGAAAAAAACTCGAGACGAAGCAGGTGGGTTCTTCGCTCTATTACAATAGCACACCCTCATTCATTGCCACCCACCGACGACCACATAATCTTCTCTTTTTATCTAACAGACATGTGTCGGAAAAAAAAATGTAATATATCATTAATTCAAGTGGATTGACCTGAGTGGTGCTTCGAACACACGACTTTTCTGTCGGTAATATATGTGTTAACTATGTTAACAATTTAATTTGAGGCCAATCTGAAGGCATTAAAAATATAATATAAATCTGGAAAAAATCTGCAGAATAATTTAGGGATGTTAAAAAGCGATGGGGACGGAGATGGGATGAAAATGAAAGGGCATGTTGTGTTGTGTACGACAATTCAAAGGAAGGGGTCTAGTTGCTCCCAAGTCCACGTAAAGACCTACCCAAGTCAATATTTAAACCCACCAAAAAGGAAATTAAATTTAACATCCAAATCCATGTGTATATATTTTTTTTAATTTTAAACTTTATAAATTCGAAAATTCAAAATTTCACCCCAAAATGCAAAGTCAATGCGTAAGGACTTCCACGAAACGGGAGGCAGCTTTGATCGACGACGGCCCGTTCTCCCCAGACGGCAGCCACTCGACGACTTTGAGCAGACGTCGGCAAATCTAACGGCTGCAAATCGTTGCACTTCCACGTGGCTTATGTCATTCAACATTTATGTGATGGCTCTTTTGAAAGAGATAAATACGATTTTTAGTCATTCATGAAAAAATCAAATAGTTCAAATTCATTATTTTTCTAGGGTAAAATTCATGACATTTATTATTTATGTATTGTGCTTATTAATTTTAAAAGTTCAATATAACTTTGCAAATCGTTTGAAAACTATTTAAACTTTTTTTTTCAACTCTAAACCATGATATATATATAATGATAATTTGTACGGAAATTTCTTTAAGTAATAATGTTTTTCTTTTAATGTGGGTGTAGGATTGTTTTAAAACTAATTTCAAAGGTACGATAGGTAAATTGCATGTGCTTGACGTGATTTAGGCTAAATCGTTTATCTCTAGTGCGATTTGAATATAAATTGCAGACATCCTACGTAGTTTAAATTTGGAGCTAGTGGAGTGGGTTGATGTGCAGTTTACCATATTTGCACGTGACGAACTCAGGTGCAATACACACATCACTCTAATTAGTAATAGTTATAATACTATTGTAAAATTTTCAAATTACATTATTTATGAAATTTCTCTTAATTTGTAATGACTTTCTTCTTAAAAAAAATAATATTTTAGCAATAGATCCTATGGTAAAATTTGACTAAATTAATAGACCAAAGTAAGCCCATAAAAACTAAATTAGCAATTTAACTTTTTTTAGAACGAAAGAAAAAAATCATACTATTCTGTTTGAAAAAAAAAATGATAGTATTATGTTTGAAATAGTGAATCTCTTTTTTTTTCCAGAAGAAAAATAGTGAATCCTTTTAAAACTTGATTTATCAGTTGATAAATTCACTTATACTGTTTTCAATGCTCTAATGTATATGTTTTCAATACTCTCAAATAAATCGATATATATATATATATATTTATTGTGTGTGTGTTTTATTCGGTCAACGTCAACTTGCTACATATTCTCATAACCTAGCTGTTTTTTTTTTTTTTTGGTTCCTAATTTTCGAAGTAATGATAATATCCTTTAAAAAAAATGATAATGTGATATTGAAATCATTATCTTAATCTTTGGAAATGCATTAATTAAGTCCCTCATGCATGTGAGTTGAGTTGGATTTAAATTATATAACTGTTGTTCTTAATTAATAATGAATTTTAATTCAATCATTATTTCTTTAATACGGTTCATGAAGGTCAAGTGTGATACCAACTTATTACACAATAGTTAATTAATTACCGATTATTGATGGAGATGCTTATGTATGTGATTAAATTATCCTTCAATGTTACAGATTTCTTTTTCCCTTAAAGTAATGCAACGAATTATAAATATTTCAACATGGTGTTGGGTTCATTAATACATGTCCAATTTCATTAAATTTTACTGTTTTAAGTTAAAAAATCTGAAAAAAGAAAAACATGTATCAGCATCTACTTTGAATGTCAAATGGTCAATATTCTAAAAACAATAAAAAATAAAAAAACTGAATGTCAAAAGTTCTGATTTATTGTGTAAGAATTGCCTGAAGAAATAATTAAAAAAAAAAAGTATAACTTTTGAAATGTTGTTTTACTTAAAATTATTTTTTTATAATCCAAATAGAGAATATTTAATATTATTTTATTTTATTTAAAATCTACAAAG